AATGGAACGGAACTAGAGCGACTATCTTGAAACCCTGTGGCTTAGAGTAATGACCCGATCCTTGCGAGAATGCGAAGAACGGAGAAATCTCCTTGCGAAACAGCAATGAAGAGATATCAAAGAGTATAAGCCCCGGGTTGAAGTAGGCTAACACCGTCAAAATAATGCATGCATAGCCAATAACGCCCCACAGAAGGAGAAGGGTCCAATCGCGCCAGTTCGAGGACTTATTCTCATTGTTGGACTCGACATCGCGAAGGCTCTGGGTACGACCCATAATTAACAGCTCCCGCGCCATCTGGTAGTCGTTTGGGATACTGAAGATGATGGAAAATCCATTATGAGTTTCTGGGCATCATGACCCAATTTAATGTCGAGTAATACCATCTTTCCGGTCGTTTGAACAAGGCTTGATGATCCGTTTTCGGGAATTCAATCGTAGCAGCCACTTACAGAAACCGGTATACAACAAGATCGACCCGTTCCCCCCCACTCTTTCCCTTTGACAAAGAGCTAGGATCTGCTGTGTATGTTGCCGGATTTGGTTATGGTTGCCGGCAAGCGGACGAAGGACTAGGAATGTGGCTGTAGAATGCATCGACGACTTCGGAAAACTAGCCAGAGCCTAAACAAACCTATTGATGTACAACGTATAATGCATATATCTGTCTTCATAAATAACTTTGTGCATACTGTACAAGTTATATACATTCATGGATATGATACAGATGTGGTGTGCCTCGTTTGTCATGTTTGTCATGTTTGTCTACCCACCTCGATATGACGTCGCAGCACGTGTTTCCAAGGTTATCGTCCATCTTGACCAAGAGTTCTATTCCGAGGCTAATTCTTACTTCTACTTTTCTAACAACTTCATCATTCTATGTTAATATTATACGCCTGCATGATAACATGAGGGTGGTCGGTCTCTTCGGCCGTTTTTGTCTCAAACGCGGACTTCCGCGTTTCCCCCGACAACATTTCAGTCGCCCGCCATGGCCTCGGCAACTACTAAAAGGCACCCCGCCAAGGGCTCCCGTCATAGCTGGAGTACTTATGGCCACTCTGGCGCCAGCGGCCTTTTTGAAACTGGCGGAAGAGAATGATGGCCACGACAAGACCGCGGAAATGCAGATGCTAGAGGCTTCCCGCGAAGAGGTCCGGAAGACGGTTTCACCCGACGCGCAAGGCCTCTCGAAGCTCTGCCAGACAATATGGGTCTATTTTTATTGTTACGTCTATGACCCTATTGCTACAGGGATACGCTTCATCCACCTTGCCATCATATTCATTCCGGTTGTCGCCACGGTGCCCGCCATCTGGCTTGGTCGCAAAGCGCAGGACCGGGATGGCGCGCGGTCTGGCACATTATGGTGGTATCGGTTCTTGGTGAAGGCAATGGAGCGGGCTGGTCCTGCATTCATCAAGGTAAGCTGATGTTTTGGTTGGCGAGAAACTGTCCATTGAGATTGAACTGACAAGCTGACTTCTTGAATAGCTCGGCCAATGGGCTGCTTCACGAACAGATATCTTTCCACCGGAAATGTGCAACATAATGTCGTCACTTCACTCAAATGCCCCCGCCCACTCACTTCACCAAACGAAGCGCATCATCCGCAAAGCATTCAATGGACTACCATTCGAGGACATATTCGAAGAGTTCCAGGAGGAACCGCTGGGCGTTGGAGCGATTGCACAGGTCTACAAAGCGAAGTTGAAACCGAGCCTTGCTGCAACCAATGAAGAAGAATTGGGCATCGAACCACCAACGCTGGGCGAGAAGGTCCGGAAAAATGTCGACGTGCTAGTCAAGAGTTCCCCGCAGCGGGTGCCATCATCGTATGTCGCGATTAAGGTGCAGCACCCCAGGGTTGAACAAATGATACATAGAGACTTGCGGATCATGTCATTTTTTGCTCACATGATCAATGTCATCCCCACGATGCACTGGCTGTCTTTCCCCGACGAAGTACAACAGTTTGGGGAAATGATGAAGCTACAACTGGACCTTCGCATTGAAGCCGCCAATCTCGTCATATTCCGCCAGAAATTCAATTCTCGCACTACTGCTTGGTTCCCATACCCATACTTAGAATACACCACTCGTGAAGTGTTGGTTGAGGAGTTTGCCCAAGGCATCCCGTTGGCCACCTTCTTGGATATCGGAGGGGGTTTATATCAGCATGATATTGCCAATGAAGGCCTTGATGCATTCTTGCATATGCTGCTCATAGATAACTTTGTGCATGCTGATCTCCATCCGGGGAACATCATGGTTCGTTTCTACCGGCCCAGCGAGCTGGACCTCTCCCTTGGCAAGCATTCGCGTGCATTCGATGCCCCGACGCGGGCCGAACTTGATGTGACAGAGGCAGTCCTTAAGCGGTTACGCCCGAGTCTCAATGACCCCGAGGACTGGAAGGCTGCCCTTTCCCAGCTCAATGACGAGGGGTATCGACCGCAATTGATATTTATCGACACTGGTCTTGTCACCCAGCTAAATGAGACCAACCGGCGGAACTTCCTGGACCTCTTTCGAGCTATTGCTGAATTTGACGGATACCGGGCTGGTCAGCTTATGGTCGAGCGATGTCGAACACCAGAAGAGGTCATTGATCCGGAGATATTTGCACTGAAAATGCAGCATTTGGTCCTAAGCATCAAATCTCGGACCTTTGCTCTGGGGAGTGTCAAGATTGGCGATATTCTCAGTGAGGTATTGACTATGGTCCGCGGGCATCACGTTCGGTTTGAAGGAGATTTCGTCAACGTCGTCATTTCATGTCTCCTGCTTGAAGGAATAGGACGTAGTTTGAACCCCAACCTAGATCTGTTCAAAAGGTGAGTTTTCTCCTCCATGCGGCTTTTGATTTGTTTAACTGAAGCTGACTTGTTTAGTGCACTTCCTATTCTACGACAATTGGGATCAGGAAGTTCGTTCTTGCAAACTGTGCGCTCGGGCGACTACTCAATGCTCTGGGTTTGGGTCGGCCTGGAGGCTCGTGGAATGCTGCAGGCCAGCATCGAGAGTGTTGAGCATTGCGTCAAGTACGACCAACTGTCCCCTAATATATAAGACCATTCGCCATTCTTCTTTTGTACCATACACGCCCGATTCTTCACTGTTGATATGAGCTCAGATGGCATGTCCGTTGAATGATAAGAAAGCCACACTGTCCATTTTGATATTTTAGAGAAATACACACTTCTTTTTAAAGAAATCTCCAAGCAAAACGTGCAACTGATGAAGTTGGGTGGGGAGGGGAATTAAATTAATGCAAAGATATAATTATCGTGTGTCCATTTTCATCTAACGGAGAAAGACCAAGGTTGTGATATAAGACAAGAGAAAAGATAAACATCGTACAAGCACAAGTGAGGATAAGCAATGGAACGCCAGCGCCATGCCTTCGAATAATTACAGAGGGGAGTGGAGAAGTAGACAGCCTTGTTGTTGCAGCTGTCAATAACTCTTAGCGCGAGGCCTGTTCACGAACAGTTGCGCCGCTAGCCCTCCACCAAACATCACCTCCCCATCTCATTAAGCGCTCAACAGCAGCCGTCGGTGTATCCAACGCAGGGCGGATATCAAGGTGGAAGACAGGCAGCCCGTGGGGATCTGGATCCCCAGAGTAGTAATCGATGACATATCGAATTTCCTTCGGGCCCGAAGGTGTCTGGCGGATGACATACCAATCGTGGCGGTCAAACGGAGGGCTGGTCCTGTTGGAATTAGAGTCAGCATTTTCCCTGGTATATATACCGCGAAGACAGTCCTTACTCAAACTTGCTGGGGTACGCCCAGCTCAGTGCCTGGTATATCTGTGCCTTAGGTGACCACTCTTGCGGCCGGCCCTGGAATCGGAGTAGGCGAGGCTCGGATGTCGAATCGAATTTACCATTCTCGTCTGCATAGGTCAAGTCCATACTCAGGTTCTCCTCGCCGCGTCGGCAGTGTTGCCATCCAGACTTGAGACCCTTGGCGAATACGCGCTCCCATCCCACGATTTCATCCCAGGCGCCTTCGTTCAGGAAGTTGTGTACTGCAACCATCGACTCCACCGCATCCTGGGGTGTGTCTGTGTGTCCTTTGCGTAGCATGGCATTGTACATCTGTTGCGGAGACGGATACTCCCAGTTGCCTTCGCCGTCCCCTCTTGGGATTGAAGAACCTTCGCGTTCAACAGGAAGATCAACGGTTTGATTGGCAGCACGCTCTTGGGAAATAGACGAGAACATATAGTTCAGAGGATTAAGTTTTGATAGGGTCGAAGGCTGCGCCGCGGTGTTGGCGGGTGGCTGCGGTGTTTGCGCCGGTGTCGATTTTGGGGCTGAGTAGAATGGAGAATCTTTCGATTTCATGGGGCAGCTGCTGGGGAGTTCAGCAGCAGGTGCTGGCGAGGGTGAGGGCTTTGAGCCTGATTCATGCATTGGGCATCCCGGCTTTAGATAAGAGTCAGTCTAAATGATCAAAGTTGTACAAGATGCGCAAAACAAACCGGAGGAGATGCATTTGAAGACGCATGTGGGATTGAGACTGCAGAAGCCTGTGGAGTGTCTGCCCAGAACCAACCCATTTTGAAGTATGAAGCAAAGAAATTTTATAAGATCCAAGGCGAACTCGAACGCGACAAAAGACCGGAGAAAGCGAACATTTTTTTTGGATGACATAAAGCTGCCACGTGATAGGTCGATCTTAAAGCGGTGAAATGTAAACAAGTCCCTGGCTTTTATACTTCAAGTTTTTTTTTATATGCATATCCTTCGTATATTTAAAAAAACATATCAAAAGAACATTGGAGTGTCATCTTACATATAACATCTCTAATATCATTTTGAGCTAAATAAATCAGATTATTAAAGTGTTATGCTTAAGAACAGAGGCCGTACTCTCATTTATATACTTCATGGACTTTCTTTTGGGGCGGGGGGTTTGGCTTATTATTACTATTACTGCTAGTTTTTTTCGTACAAAATATACTAGTGCCCATAGTTGACAGCTAAGTAAGGGAGAGTGTTCCCGTTCCAAGAAGAGAAGAGAATTCCAGTTCCTCCGACTCGGATATCACAAACCCAGTCATCGCTTCGTCCCAGACTGAACGCCAATTCAAGCTGTCCAAAGCCGCAACAAAGAAAAATTCAGTCATAAGCTTCGAAATTTGCTCCCATGACTGCCACCCACATATCATTGCGACACGGGCCAGCCGCTCCACAAACCACTGCCGCTCAGGCTGCCCAAGGGCACCTTGGGCTCCGACGAATAATGCCCAAACATAAAGTCCAAAGGTTTCATTTGGTAATCCCACAAGAAGAGACAATTTGCAGCCATCCAACGCTGTCTTAAGGTGTTTCGTAAGGGCTCGACCCAATCCAGATGATGAAGGCGAGACAATCAGGAAATGATTGAGATAGCAAATAGAAGCCACTCGAGTCACTGCTTCAATCGGATGAAGATTGGGCTCCGGGTTTGGAGAACCTTCTGCATAGATATAGCTGAGAAGTTGGTGCTCTGCTTCACAATTGAGGACGCGGAAAAAGTCCTGGTCCCCTGGTTTAATGACCGTAGGATTTGTCTGATAAGTGATGCTAAAGAATACCATGTCCCGAAGCACACTTATAATTCTCAATAAGGGTGGACTAAGGAATGTATTGGCAGAAAACCCCGTGCCTAGTCTGTTGAGAGGAGACGAAGCCAGTGGTCTGATTCGCTGTTGAATCTCTGAAGGGATTGGCTGCGCATCCCAAGTTAATGGGAAAACGGGTTTGGTCATTAGGCCCGAGGCAGCTTTGATATCGGTTCTATTTCATCAACTGTGAGTGGAACTCAAGTAGAGAGGCGAACCGGACACACACGTACGTGATGATGGCAGACAGCATAGAGGAAGAACGAATACTTTCATCTGTTATTCCACCCCGCAGATCAACCATACTTTTAAGCCCTGTGAGGTGAGTATGGACCTCGCTGAACTCTCCGATTATCAGCTGTGGAATGTTAACAACACCGCAACCCGATATTCACGAACAGAATCCATACCGAACCAGTAAGGAGGTTGATTATGGTATCAAACGCCTCGTTGCTGAGTCTGCGACTCGGATCCCGTACTTTTGCGCTCATCTCTTGAATGGACTTTGCTCTCATCATACAATAGTCAGGGTCGTCGGTAAGCACCGAGTCCCAATTACCCGATCGTTGGCTTGCGAGAACGGCTCGATGTGCAGCACACATGCTCATCAACCCAAAGAAACTACCCGGATCGGAGAATGAGGACCGAACCATTAGTTCCATTTCTTGGTTTGAATCTTTGCTCGTGTTCGGGAAAGTCATCGGTACGAATATGGTTTTCCCTTCGCCCTGTAGTCAGCTCTAGCTCTGGGGAGGCTTATGCATTGAACACCTAACACGACCAGAACGATGGGCAACGCTGAATGAGTTGATACTTACAATAGTACACCAAGTGTGCAACCATCGATGGAAGCTCACTGGTACCGGGCAACGTAAAGAAAGGATCAAGAAACCATGATGTAGGTGGATTAAAATTTGAATGGAGAGGCAAAGGATAACCAGCGCACCACCTGACAGGACGCCCTCGATGAATTGAGGTAAACCCGTCTCCAGGGTCTGTGTCCAGTATGGAAGACGAAGCAGAGGACTGAGATGAAGCCCTCAAAACCAGTCTTTGTTCATCTGATTCATCGACGGTAGCCTTGGAAGAACTGGATTGCCCACGATGTCTGGATGTTCGTTTCAACCCAGCGAGTCTCTCGCGTCGGCGTACTTCACGCATAACATGAGAGCGAATAGCCTTGCGTGCATTGACATCTTTAATCCTCTTGGAGGTCAAGTCATCGTCATGATCGATGAATGTAAACGAAGGCCGATCTAGCAGCGCGGGTTTGGCCTTGGGTTCTAGTCGGGTACTTCAGTCCAAGCTCTTGACAATGGGGGGATTCTCTTTGTAACTCTAACATGGGGGGGGGGAGTTCATAGACAAATAGGAAAGAGCAATATCAAAGTATGAAACTCTCAATAGAGCCAAAAGGTGGAGGAAAAAAAAGGTGCAAAAGAGCCAGGATTTAGTTAAATAGCCAGGTTCCCCAAAATATATACTAGAAGGTACTGACCTGGATGGGTAGAACCAAAGGTGAAAGGCTGCAGATGATCCATCAGAGAAACGACAAAATGTATACATAAGAGGCGGATTTAGAAGAGAAAAGGATGGCCAGTCCAATTTAGTTTTTAATCTCACTGGGATGTGATCCGGTGCTCAAATGGTGTAACAATATAATTTGGAAATCATTTTGAGAAACTCCCCTCTGACTAATGCTTCGCTAAATAAAAAAAAAAGGCCTAGGGATAAAACATCACGAAGGGTATTCTAACTAGTTCAATCTCATACTTGCATATCACTCAATAGTCGTGAGATCAGTGCATAACCAAAGAAGACAGCAACACAGATCCAGATTCGGTTTCGTCTAGCCCAGCCTTGACCAGCCTCTCTCGCAACGTGTCCACCATCCACGACAGAACCAATTCCAGAAGCACTACCGTTGGGTCGTCGACGTAAAGCACTAGTCTCTGGGGAACACTTGGCGGGTGCATCGGGATCAGGTAAAATCTGGCCGGTGGCGGAATCGATGCGATGCTCTTTCATCCAAGCCCAGTTTTCTTGGTCGAGTTCAGGCCATTCTGTGCGGAACTTCAAGCCTCCATCTCCGGCCTTAACATTGTTGATACCCTTGGAAGTTCGAGTGACACCGGCGGTGGCGCTGATATGAGAACCTCCTCCAGTCGAGTTCCACCACCGAGATCGCGCGGCAAGTACTCTGCGCTCACTTTCCGAACCACTAACACTTCCCGTGGTCATCTCTTCACTGGTCATGAAAGAGAGAAGGCCGATGAGAATGGTTGAGACTTCCCAGGCGGGGTTGAAAGATTTTGGGTGGAAATCACTAATGCTGAGACATAGTCGAGTAGAAGGCTGGAATCGACCACTGGGGGTATGCATGCGGATGGCGGGAGGAGCGAATGGGTACTCTGGAGGGAAGATCAATGTACCCCAGTACTGTCCATTTTCATAAGGAGTTCCCGGAGGTCCAGTGAGGATGTAATGCCACCTAGGGTAGGTTAGCTTCGGAGTTCTGCGGCAATGTGAGGGAATATATATATATATATATATATCACTTACTCAAGGATATTGGTTTCAGATGGATGGGTCACAATAAATGGGGTGGGATCTTTTTGGATATTTTGGTATTCACGAGTGAGCTATATAGTAAGTATCGTTAGATACTATCCACGGATAACAGATTGGACTTGAGGTCTGGCCACTTACCCGTTTGAAAGCCGCTTTTGTCGCCATCTTCGGTGATATGAGCAGAAACAAGAAACTTTCGCAAAGCAAAATAAGACAACCCAAGTGTTTTGAGAAAGCAAATCTGAGGAAAGAAAGGGAGAGAAGTAAAGAAGTTGCGGAGTCCAAAGGTTGCAATCAGGCGCTCACGTTAGGTCACGTGTTGGTTCCATATCTTGGTTTCGCGCAACCCGATCTGTTCCCCGGAGGCTGAAAGTTCTGGCCATTGCAGCCGCAAAAATGTCTTCCTCTTTTGCCGAAGGAGATGAGAGTGTTAGTTTATATCTCAGGCAGCTTATGAACTACCTGAATGTTCAGTCGACCCTCTACTGACTTATCTTCGCTTCTAGGTCTTCGAGCGTTTGCAACAGCGAGCAGACCCAAAGGTGTTGGAAGAGCAACAGCAAGCTGTGAATGAGCGCATGCAAGCTATTTACCAAAAGGCCCAGAATCGACTTGCTGAATTGGTATGATCTTCAACCCCTAGAAGCGCATGACAGGCAAATCATATTTACTTGCGGAGTTACCCGGCTGATCGCGATATCTATTAGATCGACGAAAACTCGACTTTACCTTGCACCATCTCCTCTGTTCAAGTCACTAGTGCCCCTAATACCCGACGAAGCTTCCTTGAGCGCAACTTGAGCCCGCTTTTGAGCGCAAACAAGGGTCGGCCCTATACACTGTCCGAAGCGTTGCGGGAAGTGTCGGCTACCGCAGATAAACTTGGACGTTTCGGTATGAGATGACGGGATAATAATAACGATGGGTGGCTACTAACATCGCCTCAGATCTATTCCACCAACCTATTTCGGTCTACTTGGATGAGTCGCAAGACCAAAATGGCATGCGCAACATTGATGTCCATCTGGCGACGCGAGAGAAGTCTCGCGTGCTGATGAAGACTGGAACGGACTTGGGTAATGCCGAGGGCTCAGCTTACGGCAATCTTCTATGGCGCAATGTCTTTGGTGGCGCCGAGACTTTGAACTTGAACGCTTCGCTCGGTACCCGGACACGGTCCGCTTACCAGGCTGCATTCGAGACTCCGATCTTGGGTGATCCCGATTTCCGCCTAGAAATTGGCGGTATTGCAAGCTCCACCCAGAAGTCTTGGGCAAGCCACGAGGAGGTTCTCAAGGGTGGCTGGAGCAAGCTCCGATGGATATCCAAGTCAGGCCACCGTCACGAATTTGGATATACCGGGTTCTGGAGACAGCTTACTGGTCTTGCGGAGAATGCTTCTCCTACCGTCCGCGCAGATGCAGGTGACAGCGTGAAGAGCAGCATTTTCCATAGCTGGGTTAATGACCAGCGGGACAATGCCCTTCTACCATCTCGTGGCTACTATGCCAAGGCGTTCAACGAGCTCGCCGGATTTGGCCCGCTCAAGGGCGATGTCTCTTTCTGGAAGTCAGAAATTGAGACACAAGGTGCCATCCCTATTCCGATCCCAGGAATCAAGGGTGACAGTGGCGTTAGCCTCACCACTGGATTCCGTGCCGGCCTTCTCTACCCTCTTGGACTGGAGTCCAACCCCCGCCCTCAACTTTCTCGTGTCAATGACCGCTTCCAGCTTGGAGGACCTACTGATGTCCGAGGATTCCGCCTCTGCGGTCTGGGTCCTCGTGAAGGCGTTGATTCACTGGGCGGTGATGTGTACGCTGCCGGAAGCGCCAATCTGCTGTTCCCGCTTCCCCGACTTGGCGCTGAGAAGCCTGTGCGGTTCCAGGCCTTCTTGAATGGTGGCCGCTTGCTGTCTCTGCAGACCTCACAAAAAGCCACTCCTACTACTAATGGTGAGGTACAAGATGCCTTGGTCTCAACTCTCTCTGAACTACAAAATGGACTGCCCAGTGTCGCAGCTGGCTTTGGTATTGTATATGCCCACCCTGTGGCTCGCTTCGAGCTTAACTTTTCCTTGCCGCTGGTGTTGCGGAAGGGCGAAGAAGGCCGCAAAGGGCTCCAACTGGGCATCGGTATCAATTTCCTGTAAACATTGGCAAGTTAGATTTCTTGCGGATTCAACCATACCACTTATACATTGCTGTACCAATTCCAATCAAGTCCAAATCAACGTTGAACATTCTAAATACAAAAAAGAAAGACATTATCTGCCCTCCATTTGAGTTTAGTTCGCTGGGGCCGATTGGATGCTTAGTCATCCAACGTTATTGAGGCCATTTGGAGCTTCGAAGCTCTACAACAATCCACACCTTAGCCAGTCGCTATTCCCCAAGAACTCCAAGCACGTCCTCTATCTGAACACAAACTAGCGATCTTCCGATATTCACGCCGTCTGTCGCGGCCATGGCCCAATACTATCCACAACAGCAGGGCTACACACCTCAGGGCTCCGCACCACAGAATCTCCAGTTCTTCCCCTCGTCCTACTCCTCGGTTTCCGGTCACACAACCCCCTCACAGGCATCCTATGGCGCCGGCTTTGGCGGAGCTCCCAATCCCTCCACGCAGGCTTACCCTGCCGGTAGTGGGTATGGGGGCTTCGGTTCGCAGGCCGCTGGCGTCAGTGGACGGATGGGCGAACAGGGCGGCCTGAGGACAGGCTGGTTGGCTGCATTTGGGACGGAGGGGTATGATGGTGAACCACCGCTGCTTGAGGAGCTAGGTGTTAACTTTGAACATATCCGGACCAAGGTTAGTGGGATTGGTTTCATTGAGCGCCTTCAGGGGACGTGAGGTCTGGGTCTTGCGGGTGGCTTGTCGTTTACCCCGGGTTTAATTTAATTGTTCTAGTCGACAATGAATGTCCGATGTTGGATGCTAATGGCTTCATTCTCTAGACTCTGACTGTTCTAAATCCTTTCGCCTCTATCGATAACCACCTTATGGACGATAGCGATCTATATGGAGCTCTGCTCTACATTGTCTTGTACGGCACTTTCCTCCTCCTCTCAGGCAAGGTGTTTTACGGCTATATCTACGGTGTCGCCGTTTTCGGAACCGTTGCTTTGCATCTGATCCTCAGCCTCATGTCCCCCGCTCTCGACACTGTCCCAACTCCCAACGCTGCCGACCCTACCAACTACAACCCCCACCACAAACCCTCCATGTCTGGTGCCTCGGCCGCGGGCCATTTCTCTGCTACTTTGACCTTCCCACGCTCCGCTAGCGTGTTGGGCTACTGCTTCCTCCCTTTGGTGCTTACCAGTCTCATTGGTATTATGATTCCCATGGACACCATGTTTGGTTATCTCCTGACCATTGCCGCTGTTGGCTGGTGCACATACAGTTCGTCAGGGATGTTCTGTGCTGTTGCGCGCATGAGTGGCATGAGGGGTCTGGTGGCATATCCGTTGGCTTTGTTCTATGTTGTTTTTGGAATTATGGGTATCTTCTCTTCGCGCGGCACCGGCTCGCTGGCTGCAAAGACAGGTGCGGCTTGAAAAGGTTAGGCTCTGATTGATACACGTTTTATGTCTATGCACTGCATGGGTGGTCCTTTAGGCTAGTGGCTGCAATGTCCAGGGTCTTAATTCTAGACCGGGCTTTGCATGTTAATCATGAATATTATGAAATTCCAGCTGTGTTTATACACCATTCATTATGCATTATTAGATTCGTCTGTCCTCTTAGCTGTAAGCTTTGTAGTCCTTGATGCAAAACAACCCTATATTCTCATATCAAGTCATGCCCAAATCACCATCTAGAAGCATCATGTACTCGTTGCGCCCTGAGTTGGTGCCCATTTAGACAGCCACTCTCTCGCCTTCTCCAAGTCACCACCCGTGGCTTCAGCTCCTGCAATACACCATGGTAGATCATACACTTTGTCATTTCCTTCGGTGCTCTCTGCTGCAATCAACTCTGCGAGGTTGCGACGTTGTTGACTTGTTTCATCCGCACAGAGGTATAAAGGCGCCGTGTTAGGCACATCCGGCTGCGTATTGAGAGCTTCGACAAGTGGACGTGTTAACTTCATGATTTCCACCACACTCATCGCGGCTGGAGGACCGGAGTCAGATGCCATTTTCTGCTTTGCCGTTTTGCAATATTCATTCTGGCACCAGGGCTTTCCACATCCGGTCATCATTTGGGAGAGATACCGGCGTTCGATGCGACGACGCAGTGCTTTACCCTCTGGATCGTACGTGTCCACATACAGCGGTCCGAAACAGAAACTGCACAGGCCAACAGACTCATTTCCGGCTTTGTTCAATGTCCTGCCGCAATTTTTGTTCATACACATGCAAGGCGCAGGTCGAGAAAGGCGCTCCAGGTCATGGTGACGAAGATGGGTGTTCATGTCCCGTAACCGGATAATCTTATTACACAGATGACATTCGGTGGTGCGTCCTCCATCCACCAGTTCGTGTGGAGTGAGGCCGGAGAGCATCACTTCGGGGTCGCGGAAATCAGGGTCAGAATCGCCTTTCTGTGGTACGAGAAGATGGCAGAATTGACAGAGAATCAACTTCCCAGGGCAATCTGTAGTACGATGTTGCGCAAGACTGGGAAGTCCTTCGAAATCCCCAGCACAGTCGGTGCATTGGTGCGTCTGGTGGAAGATAGTATCGTGCTTTTCTTTGCTTGGGGCATCATTGCCATGGCCGGAGTCGTGTAGGCAGTGCCAGTGGCTTTGCCACTCTGGAGACCGCTTTTGGAAGACATTCTGGCACTGTGGACATAATATATTATTGCGGAGACAGAAGTTTTCGTGGAGAACTAGTGTCCGTTCAGGAACCCATTGCTGGCAGTTTTTGCACTGCACATCGCCAGGCTCGTGGGACTCTTCTGTCTCATTATGATTAACCGAAGAATCCAATGGATTCAGTGTGATCCGCAGGTGGTATTGCGGTGGTGACTGCTGCGGCGGATCATATGATTCACTGACTGCAGTACCCGCGTGGACCGCTATATAGAGAGCCTCGGCGTCTTCCAGAACCACATTCGTGGACCGAAGAACGAATTTCTTGGGCGACTGGCTCGAGAAATCCCCCAAGGCATGTATGTCTGATCTCGGACGACTTCTTTGGCGAGTAGAAAAGGGACTAGCAAAAAGACTCACTTCCGGATTGTCCGTAGTGAGCTCAATCTGAATAGTATCCTGGCGATTCCAATCTCGAAGCTCATAATCCACGTATTCCCCAGGCAATACTTGGGCATTGACATCTTCTCCAACGCTGAGGATACCACCGATCGAACTGCCACTAGTCGTACCCGGTGCGCGTGAAGCTTTTTCCAATCTCTTCTGTAGCGTTTCTCGGGCCTGTTCCTCTGACAAGGCGACGATGTCAACTTCAAGATCTGTATCTACCACGCATATTCCTTCGCCTTCGGGAAACACCTTATCCACCAGGAACCTGAATGACTCGCTCCGGGTACCCGGTACTGTAAGAAGCTCGCCCGTCGTGAGGGTCGTAAAGTTGTCCCGTAAGTACCTTTCTAGAAGAGCCTTCCAGTCTTCAGGGTCATATCCAGCTTCTAGCGGACGTAGACGAACATAGGTACCCTTAGGTAGTTGCTTCGCATGTACTGTGACCGTAGGGCCAGTCCGTGAGGGTTCCCTTTCTATCTGGGGCACCGCCAGGTCTTGTGGTTCGCCATTTTCGCCTAAGAACTCCTCATCCTTGATATCGAGAGAATCTCTGAGTAATGTACTCAGTGCGACTTGATTCTCTTCAGCGGAGAACTCCCGAATTCCCGCATAGATGAACCGGCCATTCAGAGGATTGACAATGCGGAAGATTAATGGGTGGGGTAGTTGCTGCTGACGTTGCTCGACCTCTTGGCGAGCGCGCGATTCGGCAGCGAAGGTATGGTGGTTGAAAGGATCGAATGACGCAGTAAGTACACGAGAGTTCCCGGGGACAGTTTGAAGCGGAGCGGCGGCTAGCAGCTGCTCGAGCGCAGATTGCGGTAGAGTGATTTTGTCACCGGTTAATCGAGGTGCCCGGTCTGGCGATGCAACGAGCAGCTGGGATGACCAGACTAAAGTATCTTGGGCCATGATGGATATTGATAATGATCAGAGAGAGAATGCATTCTTTAATATGAATATTCCAAGGTGGGGACAGACTGCAATAGCGGCGAAGGCGACAAAAGTCGATTTCTCATACTTTTAGAACCACCGCTTTTCTCTCCGCCTATTGTGCCGCTGATGGGGGTAATGGATCTTCTCCTACATCTCTTTAAGGTATATTTATTATGAATAATAGCTATAATAGCTCTGGAAACCTCGTTTTTCCGCTTCAAAATATGTATATATCTACATCTGTATATATGTATTATATCCTAGAATATATACAATTCTGAATAAGTCAGGGTTTTGTCAGAATTGCCGCTATTGCGGTCTGCAGAAGCCGATAAGAGATAAGAGTTTCAATTCTGGAAGCCTCCACGCTACTTCGCTTTAAAATCATAATGTACACGCGAACTGTCGATTACCAATATATATAAAATTGGGCCTGGATCACATTTAATAGAAGTCGCCACGCATTCTGCCACGAGCACTGGTATTGCACCAGTCACACTGCGGGACAGCTTAGTATATTGGACCTTATATTCAATGGTTTGACACGTACCAGTATCTTCGAGCATCCTTCATTGTGGTGAATACAATAATCACCCTGGCAGCCTTGGCATGTGTGCTGGCATTCCAGCTTACAGGAAGCACACTACTATGGTTTAGAAGGAATATCCTAAAGCCAAAGGGAGTTTACTCACAGTGGGGCCACATTCCCAGCAGTCTTTGCTTACACCTCGTTCCAATCTCTGCATGACAAGGATCAGTGATATGGAAGGTAAGGCAGATTCAATTTCAACATACCTCACGTTCTTGCAGTTCGGCGGCACTGGGGTGGACTGCAGTCTGATGCGGGGACAGGCTTGCTCGCAAACGCTGCGGGTTTGGTAGACAGTTTCCACAGAACCATTTATTGCACCGATGGCACCAACGGTTGGTGAGGCAGTCCGCGCAGCGGGCAATGAGGACCGGATGCTCGCCTGGAATTAGCTCGGGCCGTTTCGCCGCTGCAACGCTAGATGAGTGCAATGGCGGGGGGCTAAGCATCGGAAATTGAATATCTGGGGACTGGCTCCATATAGCCGGACCTTCGGGGGAACTGTGGCATCCATCACATCCACGGGGTCCGAGGGCTACGGTGGCCACGGCAGGTCCGAGCAACAGAGCCTCAGCTGGGGTGTCTTCCGTGATCGAACTGTATAGTTTGGGATCGTGTCTCGGGCCACGACACAGAGCGACATCAAAGGCAATGATGCCCTCACAATTCTTAAGCACCTCGGCCCAACCTTCCTCGAGAGTGTGCTTGAAAAGCTTCCCTGATGCGCTATACCACTCGTTTTGCTGCTCTACCGAGGATATCGAGGCCCCATCCTCCTGATCAGTGTTAGGGGGTTGACTGGGTGTCCGCGGAGTTCCTACACGGGTTCCCCACCAATCTCGGTATCGGGGTCGTGCCACTGGCCGAGGGTCCGTGTGTATGGGGGAGAAATGATAGATACCCTTCACTCGCGGCGTACCCGCAGGGCGTGTAGGCCGAACGGCATGCTGAATGACCTGCATGAGCTTACGTTCGTTCAGATAGCGACATTCGCGAATAGACAGGATATTGACATTAAAGCGGTCCGTCGAAATGATATCGGCCACCAGATCAGCCGGCACTGACACCCCGTCCAAGATGAGAGTGCGCACATCTTGTAGTATACCTCTACCCTCGAGACTCTTGAAAATACGCTTCAATGGGGTGGAGTAGATCTCGTCCGTCTGGGAGTCGTCATTCGCTTGTGTTACTGTAGAGAGTTCTGCGCCCCGGCAGTGGGACAGATCAAGATGCCGGAATACATATGGAGTCTGGGTGATCACGGTGTGTAGGCGGCGTGAAGTTGAGCTCAATACCATCAACGAGGATACTGATAGGTATGGTGCCATCTGGTCGAGGATCAAGCTGTTGCTTAGGACATCCTCTAGTCCCGTTTGGTGAGGGGACACGGGTGTTATTGATTGCACCTTTGATACCCGGGGGAGTTCGCGCACGGCAGGCTCCAGGCCAAGTTCCTTTAGCGTCAAGCGGCGAGACCCATAAAAATCGGGGGCACGGCCGATCAAGTCCCGTCTGTAGGCTGTCATCGCACCTACAGCGATTTCATCACCCCGGAATCCAAAGGGTGAGGCATTGGGTTGGATATCCCGGAGGGCAGCGCGGGCTTTGACTAGCTCACTTTCTAGAAGATTGATTGTTGATTGTAAGACAGCAGGCATGGCTTCCATTCTAGGGTCAATGGCAAAAGCTATAGAAGACCATAGATCGGGCATGGTATAGAAATCAAATAGAGAGAAAAGGTGGGGAGAGGGGGAAAAGTAGGGATATACGTCTTTATAAGGATCTAAGTACGGAGTATAGAGTGGAAGATTCCCTTTTTGGTAAATCATATACCTATATTTTAATGTATATATCAACATATATATTATTTATATTATAATGCAATCAAGTAACAGAGATAACCCCATTTTAAACCATAAATGGATTGTCGGTGTAAGTGTACATGTACATATGTACATATGTACAATACGTTATGTACAATACAATACCTGTACAATCAGAATTTTATACTATATATACTATATAGCATGATTTTCAAAGATGTGAGTATATATAACATTATGTATTAGAGAGTCTTGAAAGATCTGAAAGTGATTTCCCAAAGTATGGGGTGACCATAAGTGGATATCCGTATGGAGTACGGAAGTACTCCATACGGAGTACGGAGTAGGGGTGCAGGTACACTTAACCTTGGCATCCAAAGATCTACCATATGGTCACGCGTAAGTCCAAGTAAGGAGAGAAATAGTTTAGTCTATATTACCCGACTGTTTCTGCCAAGACAATGGTGATTTCCACGCCAAGGTCCATTGAGACATCTCTGATCTACAGCATCATGCCAAGCCTTTACTACACTCCCTATTTGAATGATAAGCTGAGCCTGCCAAGCCCCCTTTTTTTCGTTGAGAAAAAGAAAAAAAAGGCACGTCACGGAGTAGATCTACTTTTCAGGTCTTGCCAAATCCCACATCCAGGCTGAGATGATCTACTTCATGTAGTATGCACCGAGGCCAAGCAGGCAGCCCCCTAAAGTTGCCAAATAGTTACACCTCTCTACACATCACTTTAAAGAGATTGCAGACGTCACACAACTATGCATTCACTTGGGAGAATTATCAGGGTAGGATTAGAACTAGTGATACAATGTCGTCGATCGTTCCCCAAGCCCCCGCTTTCGAGAGGCCTCTACTTCCACAACTTCGACACGGCCACCTCCTTGTCATCATGCTTGTTGAGAATCTTGGCGGTGGCCAGATCAAAGTCTTCTTGTGTGACATGAACCCGACGCTCGCGGAGTGCATACATGCCTGCCTCTGTGCAGACTCCCTTGAGTTCAGCCCCAGAACACCCGTTCATCTTCTCGGCAATCTTAGTCAAGTTGATCCCACGGGTCAGGTTCATTGATCGAGAGTGGATCCGCAAGATGTCGGCACGAGCTTCGACCCTATAAGAACAATGAAAGTTAGCATAACCAAAAAGATAAGAAGAAGCCCTAGATGACTGGCAGGGGGTGTAGACTGACGATGGAGGGGGAATTCGATCTTTCGATCAATTCGCCCAGGCCGAAGTAGGGCCGGATCCAGAATATCCAGTCGGTTTGTCGCCATGATAATCTTAATGTTCTTCGTTGGCTCAAAGCCATCCAACTGGTTCAACAACTCCAGCATGGTTCGTTGCACCTCCGAGTCACCACCACCTGATGAATCTATCCGGCTTGATCCAATGCTGTCAATCTCATCCATGAAGATGATACTTGGTGCGTGCTCTCGCGCCATGACGAAAAGCTCACGCACCATCCGACTACCCTCACCGATGTATTTCTGCACCAGCTCTGAACCACTCACTCGGATGAATCGACAGTCGGTATGGTGAGCGGCTGCTCGAGCAAGCAGAGTCTTGCCGGTTCCGGGTGGACCATAAAGCAAGACACCCTTTGGCTGTGCGATACCTAGAGATTCGAACAGCTCGGGGTGCTTGAGACCAAGCTCGATCACTTCCTTGATTTCCTTGATTTGCTGGTCTAGGCCACCAATCATGTCGTAAGTGCTGTCGGGGACCTTCTCGACCATCATGAGTGCAACTAGAGGATCGACCGAGGACGGCAACATCTTCTCCAACTTGTAGGAGTCAGACAGAAGAGCGACTCGCTTTCCCACAACGAGTTTGCTAATGTCCACACCATCAGAGATATCCACCACTGCGATCAAGGAAATCGGGGCGTTAGCATAAGCCCGGTCATCAAAAATCATATTGGAATAGACGAAGCCTACCGTATTTTCCTTCCGGGTGTACCTTCACCAGAACCTTCTTGGTGCTCATCACCTTCACCACCTCACCGACGTAGGAGCCGGGTTGTTGCAACAAACCAAGCTCTTCGCGCAGTAGACGGACTCTCGAGTTGTAGTCATTGCGCTGCGCTTCTAATCGTCGTAGAACGGCCTGGCCTTGAATAATCTCAAGCTTCATGCCCTCGATTTTATTGCGATAGTAGTTGTCCAGAGCCATGATGGCGAATGGGGTGATGACGCTATGGAGACTCAAGGGTTGTGTCTTCCAGAAAACACAGATGAAGTAAAGAAAAAAGACCTTAATCTTTCTGCTTAGCGGATGTTATATCGTGGAATTTGTCAGGGGGGGAGATGTAGCTTGGAAGCAGAAACGGAGGATTTGAAGCTGGGGGGGTTTGACGAGCACAGCAGTCCAGCTGTACGTGAAGCTCCGGTGCCCGTCCCAGTGCTGACTAAGAGAGACAAATAAGGCCTGAAATATCGGGCTACTAAGAAAACAAGCCAAACTAGTTACTGGTTTCTATGGATGACAGCTCCCCACTGAATGAGTCAGGCGGTGGATATGATTGGGCGGTGAATCTGGGCTGATCGGGTCATCTGCAATGCGATGGACATAAGGCAACGGTCAAGCCATTTCTCCCCTTTGACTTCACTCTTTTTCACGAGTTTCGTCCTACCTGGACCTGCAATGATCTGTATGCATTTCAACTAATGGAACTTTCATTGACATTTTCGATTTCTGCGTTTCACCTAGATCTATTTGGTTCAATAATGTCACTAGGACCTTCGGTCTTATCGCTTTGACTTTTTTTCTCTCTCTCTTTCTTTGGGGACAAAAAAGACAGCATAAAAGAGAGAGGAGACCCCGTGTCTTTGAGAATCTCTCTCTTCCTCGCTTCTTCTATTTCCAAGGTTTACTGTGTACTTATCACATCACTGGGTCATGGCTGGTGATAAAGGAAACCCTGACTCTCCCAAGTCCATGGAGCCATCTGCAGCGGCGGGAAGGGAAACTCCGACCTCTGGACCAGTGCCTCAAGTTATATCATCTACCTCCGCGCGGAGGACGTACGGTAAGCTTGCCTTTGGTGTAACCTACAACAATGACGGTTTGGGCTGATCCAAAATTTGCAGGTACACTCGATACATCTTCCCTCGAAGCGACTAATCCTGAACTACGTGATGACGGTCAAGAGGAGAGTTCGACTCGCGCATTTACGACCCAATCGTCCACTGCCCCTGATAAGCCCCGAAAGCCATCGGTATCGCGTCGCATGTCTTCCAAACGTCAAATCCCCCACAAGGGGCAAGGGTTCTCGACAGACGATGATGCCAATGAGGTTAAGCAAGATATGACAAAGAAGCAAGCCGCGAATACGCAACAATCTCCCAGGATTCGTCCACTACGAACGCAAAGCTCGACCTTGAGACGACGTCCTAGTGTTCGTCCCAGTCCCTTGGCGAGAGCCGATTCGGAGAGTTACAACGCAGACGAAGCAGGCTTGCCTGAACCAGGTCCAGATTTCGAAGAAGATTTCCCTTCTTTGAAACAGGTGGGACATAGCAGCGGGGGAGAGAGTGAGGACGACGAGGAGGGTGACATAGAAGACGATGAAGACGCAGCCAGCGATGCTGAGAGCTTCACGCTCAAAGACCGTCAGCAGGCCATCAACGAAACACATCCATTTGGTATCAGGCTCTGGAAGCCTGCATTGTACAAGAAGAGTCGTTCTGTAGAGAAGACAGCCGAGGGTGATATTCACTCATCTCCGGGAGGCTACGTCAGTCCCCTGCTTTTTTTGACCAACCTATCATGGTCTGTGTTCTTTGGATGGTGGCTTGCCCTGTTTGCTCTCTTGGCCGCAGTTGCATGCTTTTTCTTTTCCTACTCATCGAGTGCTGTGGCGTACGGAAGAGTATTTTCAGGTCTTTCGCGATATCTGTTGTACCCATTCGGATCATACGTTCTTTTGGAGACTGATGAGAACTATGCCGAAGAAGATGAGGGCGAGGGGCGCAGTATCAGCGAATATGAACAATGGCAGAATGGTGACCTGGAACATGGTCGTCTTTTCTTCGGGCCTCGCAGAGATCGGTCCCTGGTCGGTAGACGAAGGAACAGCGTCGATTCGACCGGTGAGCAAGACAGCCTGCTCGGGCGGCCCCAGCGTGGACAACGCGAAGACTCTTCTCAGCTCGGTCAATCTAAGCGTCGCCTTTTTGGGCGGGGCGAATGGACCCTGGGTCGTGTCGTGTTCTTCGTGTTCTTCTACTTCTTAGTCGGCCCGCTGATGCTCATGGTATCGCTCGTCTGCTGGCTTTTGGTCTTTTGGATTCCCATGGGCCGTATAACCATAACACTGGTGAGCCATTTACGCAGACATCCTCTAGCACTGTCCTTCCATTCCGATTCCACATATGCGAGATCAAGCACAACCACGTCTTCGTCTTCCATCCTTCTTTGTACCTACAGAGCTGCGGGAACGAGGTACTGGAAGTACACGCTCGATGGAACAAATATCTTCCTGATCAACCTTCTGGGTGTGGTTGTGTTTGTGATTTTCGATTACCATGTTTTGGGTAAATTCTTGGGCTTGCAGAACTGGGTCACACATCCGGCCTTAATCTTCCCTCTTGCTCTGCTCTCCATCATTCCCTTGGCCTATTTCATTGGGCAAGCCGTTGCCTCGATCTCCGCTCAATCTTCTATGGGCCTGGGTGCTGCCATCAATGCTTTCTTCTCAACTATCGTAGAAGTATATCTCTACTGTGTCGCCTTAACCGAGGGCAAGGCACAGCTTGTCGAGGGAAGCATCATCGGCAGTATCTTTGTCGGCATTCTCTTTCTCCCCGGTCTGTCTATGTGCTTTGGTGCACTTAAACGCAAGACCCAACGGTTCAATGTGAAATCAGCCGGTGTGACCGCGACGATGTTGCTGTTTGCGGTGATTGCTGCTTTTGGTCCCACTCTCTTCTATCAGGTCTATGGCAGTGTAAGTTTCATCTTCCTTCTCAAACGAATCTAAACTGACTGGTGCATAGCATGAGCTGAACTGCCACTCGTGTATCAGTTCCCTCGATCCGGAGGCTCGAGATTGCCGTCGCTGTTATTTCTCACAAACAGCAGCTGTCGATGACCAGTTCTTTCAAAAGGCGGTACAACCATATGCATGGATCGCCGCTGTTTTCTTATTCCTCTCATACTGCATCGGCCTATGGTTCACCCTTAGGACCCATGCTGCTCTTATCTGGTCATCAGAGATAGAAGAAAAGAAGAATGGCCATGGCCATGCCACCCAGTCTGCCCAAGATTCATTCTACGAACCACGACACCTGCTGTTCTCAAATGGCCAACCCGAAGCCTCCGGTGCTGCTTCTGGCCCTAAAGATTCCATCCGCGAATCTCAACTGTATAAGCGAATTCTAGGTCAGTCATTGAAGCATTTTGGCTTGGAAGACAATGGCTCGGGCAATTGGGAAGGGGCTGGAATTGAAGGTACCGCAGACTTCAAAAGCAATTCCCCACACTTGGTGCCCCCCAATTCTAGCGGCGAGGATGGTTGCCCTGTGCCAAAGTCTATCCGTAGTATGGCCAAAGAAGACAACGAGCGTCTAGTACGCCAGTTCACAGAAGTGGCAGCAACAGCAGCAGCAGTGGCTGCTCGGGATGTGGCTCGAAGTCGCAAGCCCAATGTCCAACACAATCAAGCTTCTGTTCGTCAAACTAGCCATCCTGCTCCAGAGCGATCACGAAATCCTGCCGCAGAAGAGCTTGAAGATCTCGGTTTGCGTGTGGAGCCCAGCCATGCCAGCGGAGGACATGATGCACCCAATTGGAGCAAAGTTAAAAGCTCTGTCGTTCTTCTTGGGGCAACGCTTCTCTATGCGGTGATTGCTGAGATTCTTGTCAACACAGTTGATGTTGTGCTAGAGAGCGTGGATATCGATGAGAAATTCCTCGGCATTACTCTTTTCGCGTTGGTGCCAAACACGACGGAATTCCTGGTACGTTATCAAAGCCTCTATCCAAGGCGGTTTTGCATTTCATATTGTTAACACACTCGACAGAACGCCATCTCATTTGCCATGAACGGCAACATTGCTTTGTCTATGGAAATTGGATCTGCCTACGCATTGCAGGTCTGTCTATTGCAGGTTCCTGCTGTAGTATTCTTTAGCGCTTTCTATGGCCGCTCGCTGGACCCGTCTGAGCTTGTCAGCCACTCATTCAAGTAAGATAACTTTTTTTTCTGTCCTCAATCCAAGATGCCATGACTAACGAAATATTTTAAACAGCTTGATATTCCCCCAGTGGGATATGATTACCGTTATCCTGTGCGTCTTCCTTCTCTCCCATGTATACGGCGAAGGAAAGAGCAACTACTTTAAGGGATCCATCCTTGTACTCACCTACCTTGTCGTTCTGCTTGGGTTCTATATGTCGGGCTATGTGAACATGGACAGCATGGGCGTGGATCGGTTTGATACCCTGGCCATAGGCGGCAGTAGTTCTGACAAGTTCTACACTATCGGCCGAACAAGAAGCGGGGTGGCCTATTAGACAAAGTGCACATATTGATACTTGCTTTTCAGCACAAGGCATTCATTGACCTGTCTGAATTAATGTTGGATAGCTTTTTTGGTTTTCGGATTTTTGTTTACATGCTTCACGTTTATATGGACAGTGTGGCTTGGCTTGGCTTTCCTTGACTTGAGCTCTATAGCTCAATGCATTAGACATGATTTTACAATAGTTATCATTTATCATTCTGAAATCGTGATCTGGGTTTCGTTCCTTTTGATTATGTGGTAATGACTGAACAATATAATATGTAGCTTTGTAGCCAACACCCTATTACCCGTGTCCTTTTTTTGGTTTTGGTGAAAAGAAAAGTCGTGGAGATGGTTAATTAGGCGGATGTGGACTTCCAGGCTCCCACTGCGTCATCCACCATCCCACGGTATTTCTGTTGCTTGAAGCACTGTTCCAGGAAGACCTCATACTTAACACCGAGCAAGGCTTTCTCGTTCTTGTCCTCTGTCGGCAACACCTTCTTGCAACGCTTGCTCATCCGATTCATAATATCCCACAGATCAGTGGTTTTGCCTTGAGAATCAGCGCTGGCCGCCTTGGCGCCGAGCATAGCAGCACCGTGACATACCGCAGCGTGGATGTATTCGGGAATCAGCACAGGCATGCCGCAGGCAGACGCAACGAGGTTGACCAGGATGTCATTCTGGCATTGTGAGCCCGACATGAACACAGAGGTGATGCGATGGCCTGCCTTGTTCATTGTCTCTACAATCTGCTTAGTTTGCAGCGCAATGAACTCCATGGTAGCATAGTAGTAAATAGCAAGGCCATCCACAGATTTGTCACTGGTGAGGCCAAAGATGGATCCAGTCATGTTGGGATCGGCGATGGGAGAGCGGTTGCCCCATAGATCACCATAGAAGAAAAAGTGGCGTCCGAGATAGGATACACATGGGGCTCCTTGACCATATGCCATCTCTTTGAGATGATCATTCAGATATTCGTAAATGTTGGAATGGGATGACTCGGCAATCGAAATGGCCTGGTTGAATGCCGGGTGAGTCTCAATCACATGCTTGAGCAATTCTCCCGTGGCAGATTGGCCGCCCTCGGCCATCCAGTATCCGGGGAGAATGGTGTCCCGATACGGTCCCCAGACACCGTCAACAAAAACCGGGTCTGGTGACATGGCAAGGTGACATGTCGAGGTTCCTGCGACAGCTGCGAGGCGAGAGAAGGCCTCTGATCTATCAAGTTTGGGAACATCTGCGCTGGATTTACCTAGTTCCATATCGACCTTGGATCCGACGGTACCAATCCAGCCAGCATAGGCGTCGATCACACTACTGCCAATGGCAATACCAGCCGGCAGACCTAGTTCGGCTGCAGCCTTATCGCAGAGAGTGCCAACCAATTCACCGGCACTCAAATAGTCACCATTCTGTGTGACAAATGTCAGTAAACTGCGTCGTTGTGAACTAGGGAAAGGCTCACCACCCCGTCGACTCCGCCCATGCGCTTGAAGTTATCTTCGGTCAAATCACCCAGGCCAATGTCACGCAAGAAACCTTCCTCCCATCCCTTGATGCTCCCATCGACGCCAACAGGCACGTATCCCTGCTTGCAAACCACGCTGCAGAAGCTTCGCTTCTCGTTGCCCGTAGCAATGTGCGTTAAAGCATCTCCCAGATCATAAAACTTGCATTTGTCGAAGAGCTCCTTGGGCATGTGGTTCTTGAGCCAAAGAACCTTGGGAATCTCCATCTCAATGGACATCTTCCCGCCCACATAGCGGAGCAGGTTGTGTTTCGTAGCATTGATCTTGGCGGCTTCCTCCACTGGGCGGTGATCTAGCCACAAGATTACGTTGCGGTCTGAGTCAAAATTCGGGCCAGTTACAGATATCGGCTCGTCGGTATCATTGGAGAAAACCGACAAGGAGCAGGTGGCGTCAAATCCGATACCACGAACCGTGTCAGGGTTGACATTGTGTTGGCTAATAACGCGCTGAACAGCGACACAAATGCAACGCCAGATATCGGAGGTAGATTGTTCCTAGAGGCTAGGTAAGACTGGTTTGGCACCCAAATTGCTTGCAGTTTCACCCACATAGTAACCGTGCTCAGGTTGCCAAAGACCAATATTCTCCGAGGCCAACCCCACAATATCACCTTTGTCATCGATGATACAGGCACGGGCACTGCCAGTTCCGACATCAATGCCAATATAGTAGTCGAGGTGAACTGCCAGATCCTCCCGAGGGTCACTGGATGCTTTCCGGGAGCTCTGGTGGGAGGCACGACTGTAGGGCAGCGAGGCCATGTTACCGTAGCTGTATTTATATTCGAAACCACTTTGAAGCTATAAATTGGTACTAAACATAGATTAGTCACAAAACACATAATATAGGCTGATTATGCTTACTGTTAATATATATAATTGGGATTTGAGAGATGTATTCAAGAGAATTGAAAGTGAACTGTGTAGAGAATAAGGTATGACAACATTTAATTTGCCTGGCGGAGCAGTGCTAGCCGGTACCTTTGGGGCACTTCCCCAATACTTTGACGATACTTGCCTGCTCCACCATTTTGTTACGGTAGTTAATGTACTTTTCATGTACCAGACAGGTAGAAGGGATGTATGTATATAGATGATGTATACCGGTTTTCTGTATACATAACCTACAACATATGTATATTTTTACAGCATGTAAATATATAAGATCTATTCGAATTACTCTAAATTTTGAACATTTTGAATAATCCAAGTATAGGTATACTCAATACTCTGTACTGTAAGGTATTCATCTTATACGGGTATGTGTAATCGGCTCGAACTTCCTTCTCGACACATCTCCGACTATAATTATTATCGCCATGCGGTTCCTACCAACCATTCTCAGCGCTGCGTCGCTGCTAATCTCTGTCGCCAATGCCTCCCTCTCAACAGACATCCTGTATTGGCCCTTGGGATCGTCGCAACCGTCCGTCCTCGCGCGCATCTCCTACGAGCCAGCCTCATTGAAATCCGACGTGGTCTCATATCACCCCCCAAAGGATGACCAGAGCGATAGTCTGTTGCGCGTTGGTCTCTACACTTCCACTCCCACAAACAAAAAGCAATGGGTCGGCAGTCTCGTGTCGTTGTCCGCCTTAACCAGTGAGCAACCAACATTTCGCCTTCACCTCGGTCCAGCCAACGAAGTCTACACTGTCTCCCTGTCTACGTCGTCTACCAACGCTCAGGACTCCACATCTGGCCCTCAAATTGACCTCGTCTCGAACGAACCCGGGACGCAACCTCACCTGAACAGGCCAGTGGTTGTCGGGCCCGATGGGCAGAACCCAGAGCAACCCGAAGAAAAGTCTCTTTTCCAGAAGTAGGTTACATACAGTCATGTATCGGGGTTCTTTTTTTGCGTGTGCTAATTGATAATCTAGGTACTGGTGGGTTCTATTGATCATCATTTTCATCAGCATGTCCGGGGGTGGCGGAGAAGGACAGTGATCGACGATTTTTTTTATCATATCATCGAAATAATACTTTGGAACTATATCCATTTGTACTCTCTTAAGCAGACCCGTCGGGGACACAAGTCCAAAACATCTATTCTGTTTTACAGAGACTTTAGAATAAATGTATATCCTGGTATAATCCGTGACCTCGGGAGTATAAGGCGGAGAACAACAAAACAAATCTCAAGAAACCAACTTCATGTCTTCATGTCTTCATATAATGACAAACAAAGTTGATACGCTGATACCTTTAAATATTCGACCTTATCTTTCCTGTTTTTCCCCTTAAGCCACTCTTCTCTTTTTCTGCCTGGTTCACAAACTCAGCGCTGCTACCTAGACCCCCACGAGGCAACAAAAAGTCTGTGCACCAAGGCATCAACCAAGTTCTATAAATCTATGCTAAAGACCATCTAGTACAGATTGCCACAAAGATGCTACTTCAACTTCCAACAGAGCTAATACAGTTAGTTCTTCGAAACTGCGACACACCAGCCTACTTCCAGGCAGCCTTTTCAAGCCGCAGGCTTTATGAGATTGCTTCCGGTAGCCGAGAAGTCATCATTCATCAGTTACATAATACTCCTGGCTGGAATGATGGTATTGAAGCTCATCAAACTAAGCATCTGTTTGGTGAATTGATGAGACGGTCTTATGAACACCTAGATGGCGCAGAACATTACGCCAACCCCACTTATGAGTATCAAAGTCAAGTGATTGACTACCATGCATCAACAATTGAGGTATCGGAAGACAGTATTCGAGCACTGCTTGTCTTCAAAGGTCACAGTACTGTCCGTTTGGTTGATATGAGCGATGGGGATCGGACTGAAGTCGAATTGAAATCACCAGGACAGGATATCGGGGAGGTTGAGATCCTCCAGACTGCTTTTGATGGAAACGGCGGAGTCTACGTGCTGCATCGATTCAAACCATTCTTAGACCAAGAATTGGACACAGATCACCCATTTGTTAAACACGCCCTAGAGTCTCGCCCTAACGGGAGTATTCACCTGGCCTGCCATCGCTTGAATCCCTGGAAAAACACCATTCGAATGTGCGACTTCCCCGAATGTCAAGATTATAGGCCACTGGCTTTGTCCGTTGCCAACGGCAAATTTGCAATCTCATGGCAAAATACGCTCGACCCCTTTGATCATTACGTCGCTCTTTATACCCAGCTCTACGACGACGATGACGAAGATGAGGATGACGAAGACGAAGACGAAGATCATTCAAGCGAAAGTGTTGTAGAGGAAGGCAAGGGAGACAATCCCTGTAAAATTATTCGTTCGTTTCGTCATTCTGTCATACTGCGAATGGTTCCTGACATATCTAGATGCCGCCCTTGAGGCTTATGTTTTGACAAGCTCCAACGATCAAGACCTGTCTGCTCGTCCTTCTCGAAAAACAGGCCCCGCGATGAGTCTGGCTTTCAATGATCGAGGCTTCCAGTTGCTTTACCACTACCGAGCTCAAAATATTTACGGTGCCTTTCAGAGACTTCAT